ACATATATATATATATATATATATATATGTATATATATATAAATATATATTTATATGTATGTGTGTGTGTGTGTGTGTGTGTGTATGTGTGTGTGTGTGTGTGTATATATATGTATATATATAAATACCTGTGTATACGTGAGTATGCGTGTACAGTTGTGTGTATGTGTGTGTGCGAATATGTGTACACGTGTTTACATATAATTATTTGATATTGCACATTTGTACACAGCCCTGTACTATGCTGAATTTCTTCTCAGCTCGCTGTATGATAGGGCTCACCAATTAGAACATATAGGAGGCAGCAAATTATATTGCAACTGAATACAAGAGTACAATTAAAAATCTGTGGTTGGGCGTGCTATGGTTTCCATATCTAAATATAGCGAAGTGATATAATGTCGGTATACAAAGCGCCAACATATGTAGCTGTTTAAAAGGCGGTGAGATGTGTAAGTCCTCTCACGAGCAATGCTTTGCAAACGAGACGATCTGGTTTTACAATGAGACATGGATCAAGTTCAGCGCACGCTTTCAACAAACTCATTACAATTCATACGAGGTAATGGCTATCATACGTTTGCAGCGGGACGATGGAAAAGAACACTCAGGTCAGGAAATGGTATATACAACCATACAGAAAAGGAATACTTACACACAGATATACATATCCAACACTTGCACTTTACGTACATCCACCATACTACATTACAATCTCCAATCTTCTCGGACACGAAACCACATACCCAACACATACATATTGGAGTACATCCAGCCATAGTAGTATACAACAATCTCGAAGAAGCTAATACACCCACCTAACACATAAATCTACACTTATATGCAATCATATTTAAACGCTGACACCCCGGAATACTAATAAACATATGCATATGCAATACATACATCTACTATATCCAACATGCGCATCTCCAAGTCCACCATATACCCACACTAGGAACAATAACACTTAACACAATAATCTCGAATGTACCTCCTCACCGGCGGCAGACATGATGCCTCTGCTGAGCACAGGGAAGAGGAAACGGCTGTTGCGGGCCGTCAAGGCCTGCGCAACCTTATACGAGTGCTTTGCCAAATACATAGTTTCAAACGCTCTCTGGTAATAGAGGATGGGTTACTAGTAGACTAAGAATTAACTAGTATGTGCGTGGGTAGTGCGAATCGTTTAGTGTAAAGTATGCACAATACAAACAACTTGTCAATGAGATTTGCAAAGATCCACCTTCGTATGTATATGTATAGTGTGTGGTGATACTAGAGCACCGTGGCCGCTGAGCTGTAGTAATTATAAACTGCTTTGTTTACACTCGCCCCAGACCCCCAGTACGTCCTCCACAGTGGTAGCTGGTAAATTGCTCTCAGGTATTGCCTATAACACTACTATGGACACAAAAATTGCCCCGAAAAAATCGGGGCTCAGCGGGTTTTAAAAGACATTCACGGCGCAAGTGCACCTCTCATGATAGTTTTTGGGCCTCTTCTCTGCACCACTCTAGATTTTTTATTTGTTTTTATTTTAACAAATTATATAAACAAAATATCTGCATAGAGTAAAAATATCAAGAACAGGTAAATACAGGGGTATGTATTTACATCCAAGTGATTTTGTTGTTTTTTTGTTGTTTTTTTAAATTTACAAATGCAATTCTGTGCATTTTTGGTCCGCGTGGGCGGGTCAAAATATGCGTTGTTGGGTGATCTGATTGGTCGTACAACCCTGGGAAATTTGATATATCAGTGTATATCAGAAGCAACAACTGCCACTCTGCCAGCCAATGATAAACACTATAGACACCTCTGAGAGTGATGCAGACTGTCGAAATTTACAAAGTGGGTCTTGGTATGGACTGTCACAGCTGTCCTAAAATATTTTATTTGGGACTTTTATTTGGAATCGAAACAAAATGAGAGAATCTCAGTAAATACAATGATGAGTGGATGAGTCGTATTCGGCGTCTGGAACTAAAAGTAAAACCCCCCTGTATGAGTGTAAATATTTATGTGTGTTATCGTGGAATTTCGATATTTTTGAATATGCCAGGAGCGAGCGAAGCGAGTGACTTTTTGATAAATTTGAGGGGGGGGAAGGTAGAAAAAAGGGGGGCCCAAAGGGGGCGTAGCCCCCTTAGCTCACACACGCTGACTCCCAAACAAAGTGTCAACAATATATATTTTATACATTCACTCATATTATAAAATAAACAACAATATTCAATATATACTTATGATTATTATAATAAAAATGTAGTACCAGTATTCAATACCCTTCTTAGATGACATTGATGCGTGGGGACGCAAATCTGGCCTCGAACAGGGTGTCATTAAACCCCGAGTACGATCTACCGACTTGCGACACGCGGCGCCAACCCTACGTATAAATGGTGAGCTTATCGCGCCGACGCTTGCAGACGCACCTTGGAACACACGTTACCTCCCCCTGAAACTGGCGACCACACATGCCGAACCGAAACACTCCAAATACCTGGGGTTCCCACTCTCTCACTGAGTACCAGGAATCAACCTCGCTAGACATATGGAATCCCTGGTTGCAGCATTGTCACTGGGTATCGCCTCTTTCTGCGCTTTTGGCTTCCATGGCTTCAGCTGACGACACCCCCGCAACCGACTGGTGATGTTCAAAACATTCATCCTATCCACGGCTACATATGGGCTGAACATTAATGCCTGGGCTCCGCCTATATCGAAGGATGCGTTGGACCCCCTATTCGTGCGCTTTAACTCGGCACTCATCCAAGCAGCAGCCATCATCACGGCCACTAAATACCCTCGGTTTCCCAAATATCAAACAAACTTACTTCACTTTTGCGGCCTGCTCCCCGCGCGACCATTCGCGGACTACCTCGGAGGTTACCTGGGAATACAACTCGACTCAATGGCCAGCATAAATCCACTTACCCCTCTGATGCAAACCGCCTGGGCCCACGATAAACCATCACTGCGCTTCCCGTACAGTATCTATGCTCACCTGAAAACTGTACACAAAACCACGGGCGGGCGTACACCCGACCATGTAGTCCTCCGCCAACGCTGTGACGGCATCAGGAAGAACTCAACAAACCGTTGGTCCTACAAGGAGATCGCGGCAATGGCCCGGCGCCAATACTACTACCAACTGGTTATGGGTAAACCGCCAACCTCAACCCGAAACACAGCCAGACACGACAGCTGCAATCGCTGCTTCGAGCCTACACCAATCCGGCTCTGTGCTGTGATTGTAACGAATACGTACATGTTCACATTGCTCGA